TGCCCCGCGCCTGGCCCCCGCCGCCCGAGCCCGGCCGCCGCTCGCGGGGCACGCTGGGACATGTAGTCTCCACGGGAGGAGAGGCGCGAGGCACGACGGGAAGGGCGGGCACCGGGGCGCGGCATCACGCGGCGCGGTGACGTCAGTCGGGCGCGTGACGCCAGGCAGACCCGGGTGGGGGCGCCGCTGCCGTCAGACCGGCCCCGCCCCTCCCGGCTCCCCGGAGCGCGGGCGGAACCGCCAGCGGCACCTGCGGGGAGACGGCCGGGAAAACGGGGGAAAAGCCGCTGAGCGGGGCTGGGCTTGGGCCCTGTGGGCCTCCATCTTGCACGAAGGGGGAGGAGAAAAAACAAGGTGAGGTGAAAACCCTCTTTATTGGGTAAAGCCACCCCTCTGCGCCCTGAGCGAAATAAAGAAAACACTGCCTGGACTGGTGCAATTAAAGGCAGCATCGTGCAAATAGAGTGATTCCCCCTCATTTTTACATCAGTTTTTCAGTGCTTTTTTTGTGTCTTATCTTTTAGCGAAACGCGAGGGCGCATCTCAAGCAGTGGCTCTAGCCGCAGCACAATGCTCTAAAAAAATCCACTTGCGTGTTTAGAAAACCCAGCTTAATCACCTCTTCCTGTATTGCTAGCTCAAGCCCTTCGTTTGTGTGTTGTTGAGTGCGCTTGGCCTGTTTTCTACTTCTAGAGTCCCAGTTAGTGCAGCATTTCAGCATCTATCACTGTGCTCTGCCGGGTATCGAGAGCGGAGGGTGGTGGAAAGGCAGCAGTTTATACTGAAATACCCATGTTTGATTGTTACAAACTGCCTGCCCGAGGGGTCTGGACATGGTCTGTTTGAACTTGAACTGCGAGTACCTCCCACACAGCCCAGAACCTGCAGAACAGGAGTGAAAAGAGACAAATCTGCAGTCTACAGGAGTGCAGCAGCAAAGCTTTTTGACCAGGTCCTGCCTTGTTCCATCGTTACCTCTGTAATATTCCATACGGAAGAAACTACAAAAATACATAGAAGAAAAGTCCACTGAGGCTTATAAAAACCACTCTCTGAGGCCAAAAAAAGAAAAGAAAAAAAAAAGGTTGGTAGCATTAGACACTGGAAGAGTACAAAGGGTGAGTGTTTTTTACGTGGTCTTTCCTTACTCTCACATGAGCCCCTGCTGTCAGAAAGCAGATGCTAGGCACCACGGACCGTTGTTCTGATCCGTATCAGGTCTGTTTCTTAAATAAATGCTGTCAGTTCAGGGATCCTACTGGAAACTTGCAGAAAGTGCAGGATGCAGGTCCATAAAGGGAATGGTTGTGTCCAAGAGGCAGGTTTGAGCCAGCCTTGTGGAATGGTCCTAGGACAAAGTAAATTCTCTGAGCACACATCTGAATCCAATGACGTTAGGTTTTTGTGTGAGTCTAAATAGCTGAAGACCAGGACAGTAAGGAAGGAGGAGGATTTTGGAAGCTCCTGGCCTGCTGTGAGAAGCCACGTCCACGTGTTAACTGTTCACTGCGCAGAGAAAAGCACTGCGTATGGCACATAACTCCTGGTGTCTCAGCGACAGCATTCACATTTTCTGATTCAATTTTGTATACCACAAGACTTCCCTCAATGACAAAACCGAAATGGCAGGCAGCCTGGTTACAGAGAAAGGTTTGGCCTGGGTTTTTAAGTAGCTGCATTTTTTTTTTCCTTTTTAGCAGAAGGACAGTGAGGCTGCAGGAGTATCTGCGCAGGTCTGGAGGGACTGGGGAGCAGCTGTGGAGGCAGCTGCCCTGCACGCTGCTGCTCCTGTGCCGCTGGCTCCGCTGGGAAGCAGGGGGACAGGGCTTGTCTTTCCCTCCCAAATCCCGCAGGGTTGGCGCATCCTGCACATGCATGGCATGCTCATCCACAGAGCCTCCCAGGCAGGAGCTGGGCCATCAAGCAGCCCAGCTTCCCTGCTGAGCCGTTGCTTTATAATCTTCTGTGTGATTGCTTTGTAGTTTACTCAAAAGAGATGATTACAGTCGAGATAAAACTCAGCGCTAGTGTCTGGGTGAAACAGCAGCGCACACATGCACATCAAGCACACAGCGTGGCATCTCAGCCCCTGCCTCCCCACATCGAGTGCGAAGCCATTTTGAGGGTCTGCTACCAACTCTTAATTATGTTCACGATAGCCAGAAAAAAAAAAAAAACACCGTTTTCAGCATCTCATTTAGACTGTCTTGCAGTGATCAGGACTGCTGGAAGCAGAGGCCAGAAAGGCAGGAACGTCTCCAGCCCTTTCCTGCTGGCTGGAGGAGTGCTCTACCCACACATACTCCCAAAATAGACCTGACTGCAAGCACAGAGGTCACGTAATGGCACTGTACAGAATGGGTACAGAGCAGAGGAAAAGAGGGTAAGTATATTTAGCAATCCCCTTCCTGTTCCCCTCCCATGAGAACCAAGCACTTAAGCCAAACACTGTGGGTAAATAAACTGTCCTCAAAAGCAGACAAGAAATTTCACAGAAACACATAGGCGGGAAGGGCTGTCTGGAGGTCTCTGTGCAGGTCATCAGAGCAGGAGGCTCTTGCTGAGTTCTGAACAAGATGATCAAGGATGGAGCTCTCGCTGCCTCTCTGTGCCCTCGTTGTAGTGTTTCACAACCCTCTTGGTAGAGCTTTTTTTTTTTTTTTTTTTTTCTTCTGCACATTCAGTCAGAATTTCCCACATTCCAGTCAGTCCTTCTTGCCTCCTGTCCTGTCCTTGTGTGGCTCTGAGATGAACTGGCTCCATCTCCACAGTCTCCCTTTGCTACTGTAGACAGCAATAAGGCCTTCCCTTTAACTACTTCTTAAGGCTAAACTCATTTCTCTCACCTTTTCCTCCCAAATCCTGTAACTCCATTTCCTACCAAATCCCAACACAGTTGGAAGTGTAGAAGCATCACAAAATAGTGGAAAGAGCAAAAAGAGGGTTAGGAGGGGTTAAGAGGATGGAACTGAGCACAGAAAACTGGTGAAAGGAACCATCCAGGTAGGGACTATGTGATCACCTAGGTTCCAGACAGGGGCTATGTGATCACCTTCCAGGAGTGACAGTGGTTTTAGGACCCTAATTCACCGTTAGGCTAGATGCAGTCTGGAAGAACATGCCACCAGGTGGCAAATGTCCATGGTAGGCAAGACATCAGCACCCTGTGTCCTCACAAACCCTGTCCCCCACCTCATACTGTGCAGGAGAAAGCAACTGCAAATGCAGCCTCCCAAATCTCCAGGCAGCTCGGTCAATCACTGCATAAAATGCACCAAGAAAGACAAGTTCTGCTCTGCTGATCTATCTGTGGAGCGGGACAAAAACGGTGAGAGCACTGGGGCAGCACATCCCACCAGAGCCAGGGCCCGCAGCCTCTAGCCCACTGAGGTCCCCTTTCCCAACAACCAAAATCCTCCCACGGGGTAAAAAAAAATAAAAAATAAAATAAAAAGGGAGACTGAGAGCTGAGCTGAGACAAGGAAGCAGCATCCCCAATAGCTCTCCTGTGTGCCTTAGACCCCGGACAGGCCTGTGTAGTTCCTTTACCAGCATTACACTGCTTCCTTCCTCCTTCTTGTTCTGGAAGAACACTGCAGGAAAAATAAATTGCTAAAACGAGATGCTACTTGGAGCACGAGAGGGAAGTGAATAAGGAGGGAGTCCTGCTTGGGAAAGCATACAACAGAAACTGTACCAGTGATACGGGGCTTCCCCGCTCCCTGACTGCCCACTTGCCAGTGGTCTCCCAAAACCCTAACAACTGGCCATAAAACTGAGCTAAGGAAATCTGCAGGCTGGGAAGAACTGACTCCTTGCTGTCTCATGTACTTGGAAATCCTTGGATATGAAGAAAAATCATGAAAAGAGCAGACACCACGGACAGAACACCAAGCACACAAAAGAACCCACACACACATGCACTCAGAGCTGGCACCAACACAACATGCAGCTGCTCTCACCCACCCATTCCACACAGCACTGCAGCTCCATGGTGTTCACAGCACAGGTAGTACAGACAAGGCCATCCTTCTGCTGATAAGGACGGAGAAGAGAAAGATACCAGACGTGATTCAAGGGTATTTCTGAACAGTGTTCCCAAAGGATTTCAGGATGAACTCGCTTCCACTAGGAAGGATCATTTGTTTGCTCTTAGACCACCCAAATACTGGGCAATACAAATTTTAGGCTAGAAAAACCACAGATGGAATAGGCTGTGATTTGCAAAGCCATCTGGTTTCAGCAGCTCTGTTTGTTGCGAGGCTGTAGACTCCTTTTTCTCACCCTGATTCAGGGATCTTAGTCCTTCTTGCCCTATACTGACCAGGGATGTAGAAGGACAATATGGAGCTGTTCCCTTCAGTGCCTTCTAGCCAGCAATGGCTCTAGATAGTCCTTTGCCCAAGGAAGGGAAGAACAAGTGGAAATGAAAGCTGCTCTCTCATATCCATCTACCTCCCCACAAGGGCTTTGGTCTTTCACTGTGATAATTTTCAGCACAGTCTGACACCCCTGGCAGCAGGTCCCAGCCACACAGTGGCCCTACACATCCTCACTCAGTTGTTTGGATGTAAACAGGCACAGCCAGCATGGTGCAAGGGCCATCCGAGGCAGCCTGTAAGTCTGCCAGGGCCAAATTGGACGCGATGTTGCTGGGCTGCCCCGGGACAACCAAGTCCGATTCAGCAGCTCCTGACCCCCCCACTACAATGGACAGGACAGTGTCCGACTCTTGGAATTGTTCTTTGTTTGGGCTGCTCTCCCGGGCGCTCTCCCCAGCAGCACCGTCCTTCAGCTCTGCCAGGGCCAGCTGGCTGGGGAGGGAAAGGCCCCCCTTGCGCCCCCGCGCCACTCGCTTCTTCTGGGGCTTCCTGAGCTGCAGGTCTTTGTCCTTGGGTGAGCCCAGGTGGCACTTGTGGTCCTTCATATACTTGTGGCGCGTGAAGCCTTTGCTGCAGGTGGGGCAGCGGTACTTGTAGTTGCCAGTGTGCGAGCGCTGATGTTCCATCATGTGGGCTCGGCGGCTGAAGGACTTGTTACAGTACTGGCACTTGTGGATCTTCATCCCTGCACGGAGCGTTGGAGGAGAGAAAGAGCTGTTAAAGAACCCCGTGTCGGCACGCAGATGTTCAGACAAAACTGCACCTCACCAAAGAAGGACATGGCAGCCTCCTCTTCCCCGCAGATGTTCCCTGATAAAACATCCCTCCTAACATATATCCTCCCTCCCTCTCCTACCCTGCAGCTTGAAACAACTTGAAACGTCTTGTCCAAGCAGCCACATGCTGCCACATGGTTTGCTAATTAAAACAACTAGCCACCCCCACACACACCTCACCCCAGCCCATCCCCACCATGGTCTGAGATGACACTGTGCCACCTAATCAGAAAAGTAGGTGCTGCTACACCTTGCATGTCAGGGTTGAGGAAGGATTACAACATTAGTCCTGGCCTCCAATAAGGGGTTTAAAATCTTAACAGAAAAAAAAAAAAAAGTGTCAAGTGATTGTGGTGAAAAGACAGAAAGACAGATCACAGACTTAAAATTTGTGAGTATTGTTTGTTTTTTTTTCCAGGTGCATTTGGTAAATAATAGTTTCACTTTTTTTCCCTCCCAAATATGGGAATATGCCAGAGCTTATAAAATATCAGCCATGACAATGTCAGCACAGCCCTACCTAATCACTCATACCAAAGCTTTGCACGTGACGGGAAAGACACAGTTTTACCCCAACAGACAAAACCCACAGAGTTCCCTAGGGCCCAAGAAAAAATGGTTTGTCTCTATTAGAAGCAGGAGCATCATTTTTGGAACATAAAGAGAAGGGAGTTGAATCCCAAGAGCTCTCCTCTTGAATGGGAAATAATATTATCAGTGAGGAGTAGACAGATCACTGTAGACATTCATTTGAAAGCGAGCACACTGAATAATCCAGCAGTGTCTCAAGAGTCTCAGCCAGCAGGGCCTGCCTACAGGTTTATAGTGCAGTAGAAAAGAGCCAAAAGATAGACACGACTGTAAAATACAAGCTTGCATAATCAGGTCTGCAACCACAGAGATAAAAAGCTAATAAACAGTATTAAGAATTCAGGCTTATGCATGGAAAACACTGGAAAATTCTCCCGCAAAACTGCATAGCAGCTGTGTTAGCTGAGCAATGGGTGGAGGGACATGGTGGTGAAAGCATTTGCAGTGAACACGTTGCACTTCTGGGGGTCACAAAGGAGAAGCACTTTCACCATTTTCCACCTCCTGCTTCTCTGGATTACTCCTCCTGTAACGTGCTCCCCCAGTGTCACAGCGAGTCCCAACAACTTCTTCATGCCTAACTACTGGCTGCAAGGGCAGGGGCCAGCTGCACTTACCTGAATGGGACAGGATGTGAGCCTTCAGCTTGTCTGGTCTGTTAAACTCTTTATTGCAGCCTGTGTGGCTCCTGGAAGAAAAACGAACATGGTTGAGCAGCACAAATCAGCTGGGTATTGGTGCACAGAGATGCTCAGCCATTCAGCAATTCACAGCTCTTTTCCTTAGCAGGCCACAGGTCCCTGAGAGCTGCACTACTTCAACCCTTCTGGACAGGGCAAGAAATAAACACTCTGTCACATGGACACATCTGATTTCTGCTAGACCACACCTTGCCCCTGTCACCACAAATGCTCCTAGAAGTAGCAAACTGAAGATCCCAGCTGGAAGCAGAAATATTCTGGAGGAAGCTGCAAGCTAGTTAGAGCAGGGAAAAGTCACTCAGTCTCACTATGTCAAAGACCCCACGACTGTCCCAGAGACACTTTCTACAGGATGCACCCACTATACCTGACTCTCTGGCTTGTGCATTAGCTCCCACGTTGCCAAGTGCTTTTTGAGACATGACAGCTGGGGACATCACTACACTCAGCACTTTGTGCTCAGATAATATTCTTTCCTTTCCTCGGTGCTCTCTACATGTAGTCCCCAGAGCCTCCCAAGCAGGCAGGCATTATTTTACACAGGTTGATGAACTGAGGTGAAATGATGCAGTGCTGCAGTAAATCAGTACCAGGGATTTTCATTCCTAGTTCAAGAGCACCCAGCCTTACTGCTTCTCCAAGAACCAGTGGATTGGCAAATGCCATACATATACCATGCCATACGTATATAAAGAAACATTCCTTTCCTCCCAAATCCCATCACAACCCATTAAGACATAGCACGATGCTGGAGACACTACGTACGAGAAGGGACATTTATACTTCTTGAAAGGCTCGTGAATCAGCATATGCCGCTTGAGTTTGTCTTTCCGATTGAAGGCTGCATCACACACCGAGCACTTAAAGGGCTTCTCTCCTGTGTAAGCAAGAGAGCAAGAGTCAGGGAGCGCCCAGGGACACACGGCTGCCCTTGTCATGTACAGGATTCACTCTGGCAGCAGAGCCAGTTTTTGTTTCTCCCTAATCTCTCCCAGGTTTCCCTAGCCTGCCTGATGGATGGATGGATGGATGGATGGATGGATGGATAGCTTGCAGTCCCCATCCTCCCTGGGGCCAGCTTTCTTGGCTTCTGTAACCCTGGACAGCAGGGAAGCCAGCTCTGCATCCCACTCCTAACTGGTGCGGTACTGGGCGTGAGGCTGATCCAAAACCATGCATTACATATGACTCATGCAGCTGACTGTTTTTCCAGTTGTCTGGAAAATAGCCAGGGCATTATGGGGCACAGCAAGGAGGATTACAGTTTTGAGACATGGAGCAGTAGGCACAGACCATTTTGGATCCAGCAAAGCCAGCAGTGCACTGGATCTGGTAAAGTCTCTTGGGCCCAAAACAGATTATCCAGAGCCACTTGGGTGTCATGTCTGCATTGTATTTCCAGAATTTCTGGGTCTAGCCTGGATGGCTCCAGCCCACTAACGTGCACGGGTCAAGCATCGTCCCCAAGAGGCAATATGCTCCCAGCCCAGAGCCAAGCATGGAAGCTGCACTGCCAGGGTTCTGTGCCTGGAATAACAAGCCTCAAGTTGCCTCTCTATCTGCAATCTCAAGGTTACAGCTCATCTTAAATGGGATCACCAGGGAGCTGGGAAGAGGAAGGTCCCACTCATTGAGCTCTGATCCCCCAGCGCCTGTTCCTGGAGGCTGCCAGCGGGCAGGGAAGGCATTCAGCTCCGTACCCGAGTGGATGTGGGCATGCAGCTTGAGGTAGTGCTCCCGGCGAAAGAACTTCTTGCAGATCTGGCACTTGAATTTGCTGCCCCCACCGTGCGTGGGGATGTGTCGGCGCAGATACCTCTCGCAGGGGAACACCTGTGAACACACAAGACTAAGGCTAAGACCTGGCAGCAGGCAGGGGAGATCCCTGAGCCTGCATGGGCAAGGGAGGCATAACCTAGGTAAAAAGCCAAAGAAGCTCAGGATGACTGTGTTCTTGGAAAGGAAGCACCGAGGAAATCTTCAGTTTTGTGCAAGGAAAATAAACATATAGCTTTTTTGGAGCAAAAAAGAAAAAAAAAAGGCTTCTTATCCTTAGGAAACAAATAAGCCAAAAACTTTCTGCTAGATTTTATAACACCATTTAAGTGCTGACGACCAGTGCCCCACATGGACAGCCCACTGGAGCCATCAGTAGCACAGGCTGGGTAAGGAACTCCAGTAGTTACCACCTTCCCACAATGTTAAAATTATTTTGCACTTCCCAATCAGCTATTACCAAAGGTTCCCGTGCTGCTGTACACCCATTCACAGTTTTTATAAAGTCAGTCCCCTTTGGCTAATGGGGATACTGAAAATATGCAAGCACAGGGGAGCCAGGGGTTCTGCTGCCCAGGGCTGGGCTCTCACAGCATCTCCAGAAGCTGGCAGTATGAGTAAGAATACTCTCAAAAAGAGAAATGAAAAAAAATCACTGCTGCAAGCTCTCAAAGTCTTACTGTTGCTGCCGCTCAAAGTCCCACCCAGGCCCAAAATGGCATTTGTCACCTGGCAGGGGGAGCGGAGGAAAGACAGGTAAAGAAACACGAGTTACTAACCATGGCAGGAGTGTGTTTCCCCTTCCTGCGCTACCTCAGTACAGAGTGGTCACTCCTTTGAGATTGTTCCTGCCCCCACTGCAGGATTTTCATTTCCTTGGCTATAAACAGAGGAGCAAGGGTCCAAATTTTAGTCTGGATTTCAAATAATAATTTATTAGAATTCAAATCCCACAAAATTCTGCCCCTTAAGCCCCCTCGGAGGCCAGGCTGAAGGGAGTATTTCCAGTCAAAATCTACCCGGGCATTGTTCCAGTCCCCCTCACAACACTCAGACAGATTCCTCTTTTCCAAGGACACAGAGCGTTCATCCAAAAGAGTGGAACATGGGGAGACCCAAAGATTTCTACCGTGGCGGGAGGTGAGGAGAGCAACATGGATGCCCAGGCTCTCCAGGGACTTCCCAGGCACAACCCTTCCAGCCACGGATAGCTAGGCATGGTGGATCAAAGCCCTTGAGACACATGGCACTGATGCCACCCTAACACTTCCCCAAAAGCTGCCTCACTTTTCCAGGCACACCTGCTGCTAAGAAATAAGGGTGGCAGCCCAGGGTGTGAGGTCCCATACCTTTGAAGGCCCGAGCCAGCTCCGTGCTGGGTGTGTCAAGAGAATAAAGGAGCTCAGTTCTTTGCACGGCACGAACCCAACGCAGCACGTCGGTGTGCAGGGGGTGGACAGGGAGAAATGTCCCCTTGCAAAACCTGGGCATCAAACGAGGCCCAAGAGAAAAGCCAGCACTGAGGAGAGGAACGTACTCTGCACGAGAGGCAAGAGAGCTGGAGGCCATGATGCAATCGCTTCCAGCTCTCCGAAAAGCACCTCTCAAGCCTGCCAGTCCGTACTGAGGTAGGAAGGGAGAGGAAAAGGAGTCAAAGGTTCCTGTCCCCCTCGGAGCCCTAACTGCACGGCCAGGATTGGCTCTGGCAGCGGTCACCCACCCACCTTCTGGCAATGAGGGCAGGGAAAGTTGTGCGTTGCTGTCTGCAGATGATGCTCCAGGGCTTCCGGGGTGGAGTACTTATTTACACACTTCACACATCTGAATGCAGAGAGAAAGGACAGAGCTTGTGAATGAGGCTACCAACAAACCCCACACCACAGGCTCACCCCAAGCTGGACTGAGCACACCCACTCACCAGTCACCTTCTAGGTTGGTTTTGGGCAGAGATGGCTTGGCACAGATGACACCAACATCATGATGTTCTAAAACCTCAACAACCCACATGGCCAAATCACACTCACTTCCTTCGCAAAGGAGAGGTGCTGGAAAACTGGGTGGAAAAGTCTCGAAATCCTCTGCTACACTAACTCTCCACACTTATTGGCATGAGCACCCAGGGACCTAAGCATATACTCCACGGTTCCTGGTGGAGACGAGCCCTAAGTAAAGACCTATTTAAAACACCTCTTCCCATCTTTCCTGCCAGAAGACTACTGTTCCCAGTGAAGAAGTTCTTGGATGACTGCACAGTGCAACTGAAGAACAACTGAAGTGCAACCTGTGGTTGGAACAGTCACAAGATAATATTCTCCCAGTTGGGGTTTCTGGTGTCAAATGAAGTTTGGGTTCACACTGCTGCCTTTCCGGCACCCCCGACCTCTCCTCCACCTGCTCATTTATTCCCATAAACGCAGCAGTATTCCTGAGACCTCTGCCAAACCTGACCGCTCATGGGCAAGGGGGCAAGCATTGTCAGTAACGAATACACAGGCACCCACACAGTGTATCTGCTGTGAAACCTTTCTTCCTTTGGAGGTCACACTAGAACCTCCCCAAAGATAAGCAGGGTTCTGACCCCAAGGATCACAGACAAGCTGTAGGATGCAGCTTCCCAGTACAAGGGTAGATAGAAACTATGGCTCAACTAAGAAGCAGCAGATACTTATTCCACAAGGTTCCTAAGTGACCTCCAGTTTCTACTGGACCTCTTACTCTTCCTGTATCTACCTACAAGCACTTCAGCTGTTTCCAAGCACTGTTCCTGGAAAATTCCGACACTTCTTTTCTACATTAATAGGAAGGTTTTCCCAGGAAATATCCCCTTTTCAGCAAGAGAAAAGGAGAAAGAATTCTTTTTCCTGGGCAGCCCTCACTTCCTTCGCTGAAGGTGATTAGAGAACCACAGAAGACAGGCTGGGTAGGGGCTCCCCTGGGTCACTCACCCAGTCCAAGGCAGACTCAGCTGTGCCCACCTCACTCTTGGTCCCTGGTCCCTGGTAAGAGCATTTGCAATGATGGGATCTTCCCATGCAACCGGTAACAGTGTTCTGTTGTCTTTCCAAAATATTCCTTGTTCAAATTTCAACCCATCACTCCCTGCCCTGTCTTCCACTCACAGGGGAATCATCTTTTGCTTTTGCTCTCTTCAGGAGACTGTTAGCACCTTGAGCCAGTTCACGCTCCAGGACCTGAGAGTGAATTATAGTGGGTCATGCTCTCATTACATCCTAAACCTCAGGCCCAATTCTGAGTTCAAAGTGCTCATCTCAGCAGCCTGGTGGAGGGGCCCTCAAGGGAACCATGGCAGCAGAATACACAGCCCCCCTCTCCCCTCGGGTCCCAACAGCTCTTAGCCAAACATGCTCAGCACGCACTCACTCCTACAAGCCTTGTAAGCACCAATTGCTACTGTACTTGTACATGGCCACATCCTTCTTGGGGCTGTGTTGAGGCAGCAGGCTGTGGGAGTACTGGTGGACACCCAGCTCGTACAGGGAAGGGAAGTCCTTGCTGCAGAGGTGGCAGCGGTAGCTCAGCTCCTCCTGGTGACTCTTGATGTGCTCGAGGAAGGACTCCAGCTTCTGGAAGGTCTGAGCGCAGCTTTTCACCACACACTTATATACCTGAGGGAAGGCAGGAGAGTGACTGAAGTGAACAGACAACATGGCCTTCTGGCTTCTGTCCCTTCGTCCCCCCTGTTAGGGAGCAGCTGAACTGATGCTATGAAAGCAGCATCACCAGAGTTCCCAGAGAGCCCATCGTGACCGCAGCTTTTCCACAAGGCCGCTGGCTGGCACACAGGAAGGGGCACAGCAATGAAACCCTGCTCTGCACTGCAGCAAGGCATCAGGGTGGTCTAACATACTCTCCTTCTGTTGCCTGCCCCAGAGGAAGGTCTTTAAAGAAGAGCGCAGAGCAGCTTCATCGTCAAAATGTGGGTGACAACTCTAGGTCAAGACAACAGCAGAGACTCCTGGAAATGGAGCAGGAACTAGGACAAACTCTACTCGTGCTGCACAGTACCCATCAGGCTAATGCCTAAGGCTCACTTTGCCCACAAGAGGCCCTCCCAGGGCATAGCTAACAACACAACTAGATTCCTTCCCTGACCCCCACAGCTGCTGGCCAACAGCATGGGCAAACTCAGCACAGCTCCCCTCCAGCAGGACTTGCTCCTTTTCCATTATGATCCCTCGGATAAGACCAGGTTCAGAAGCAAACATAGCGCCAAAAGATGAGCCCCACTAACCCTCACCCCTCCCGCCTCTGAGAGTTGGGCTGAACTAGCTCAACTTCCACAAGACATTTGTTCTGCAAATGCAGAACATCAGGGCATTTCCTCTGAAGATAGCGAGTGACATGGAGAAAGGGCTATTGTACCGAGCACCTGAAATTACCCAAATAGGTGAGATCACAACACCCCAGTGGTGATTGTCCCACAACCTGAGAGCTGCCATCTACACTGAAGACCTTGGATTTTGCTTCTTTCCTTTTTCTCTAGCTGCCTGAACCTGCTCAGCAATTTCTCACCAGCAGCTCTGCACTGCAGAGGCAGTGGAGCTTTTCAAAACCACCCAGACCACACAACACATAGCAATACAGCGAGCTACAGTGCAGGGGAGGCACAGACAGCTTTAGAGAGCAAGCAACATGCCAAGGACAGATAGTGGGTGCCAGGGCACAGGACAAAGCCTGTCTCAGTCTCACCAACACAAGGCACCCTCCATCCTCACTCACCTGCTCGTTCTTGTGCTGCGTCATGTGTGATTTGAGCTGGAAGTAAGTGTTGAATTTGTTGGGGCAGAACTGGCATTGGTAAGAGCTATCAATCAAGACAACCTGCTTGGCTTCCAGCTTGCCTGCCTCGCTCTCCTCCAACGGGGCCATGTCTTGGGGAGCTTGCACAGGGTTCCTTGAGGGCTCACTCAAACCTGAAGAACAGGGAGACAAAGTCGAAGGCTGCAATCAGGCAGCTCTGAAAGCTGCTCTGCAAGCCCGGTACTGCCAAGACATCCCAGGCCTGGCACTGGTTCCAGACTCTTCCTTTCTTTCAGATGAAACTTATTCCCCAATTTTCCTGTCTACAGAATATCAAGGGCTTTGATTTCTCTATCTTCCTCTCCTTGACCTGTTCCCTTTACCACACTGCTTCCAAAGAAATAAATGTGCCCCACAGAGAAGTCATCATGGCAGACCCCCTCCAAGGAACTCAAGCCAGATTCACTTCCCATCTTAGGCAGCAAGATGGGAAGGGGGACATGGGGGAACAAGATGGGAGGCAACACACACAGTCCAGCAGCAGCACTGAAATCTGCATACAGCAGATCTAGTGGGACCCTGGCCTAGACACAACATTCCCACACAGTTTTGTTCCCTCCCCTCTTACCTGAGACTGAGGAAACCCACATCACTGCCTGCAGCAAGCAGTTTTTCTCTGCCTCTAACATTTCCAGTTGGCCAGACCCACCCCAGGCATGACTTTAGCATCACAAAGAGGCCAGAGCACTGGACTATGTTAAATCACCATCTTGTCCAGACACTGGATCAGAGCTGCCAAGCATGGCTCACACGCTGCCAAAGCTGCAGCCCCAGAGAGTACGGAAGGAGAAGATGCCTCCTGTTCCCATGTATGACCAGGCACAGAGATCAGGACGGCCGTCTCGCCAGTGTCTGAACACACTATTGCTATGGGTGTTCATGAGCTGCAACAGGACACACTGCACTTGTCTCATGTGTGCTGCTAAACCCCAAGGCAGTATGCAGACATGCCCCCTTGCACATACAACTCCTTTCTCTCTTCCTTCCCCATCAGGGACGAGAGGATGCAGCAGCCTGCAGACTCCTCACATCATTGCTTCCCCTCTAAGACGCGCTCTCCCCAAGCAGCAAACCTGTGTTCTCCTCATCCTCCGTCTGGTTGGGGTTCAAAGCCATGACCTGCACCGTAATGGAGTTGCGGGAGATGGTGCACCCCAGCCCTGGAGGCCACACTTTATGGGTCTGCATGTGCTTCTTCACGTTGGACTTCTGGGCGAAGGCTCGGCCGCACACAATGCACTGGAAGGGCTTCTCACCTGTGTGACTGAAGGCAGGAGGCACCGGCTCAGCGGCCCCCAGCACAGACCACAGCAGAAAGGCTGCTGCAGGACTGCACTGAGCACTCAGCACTCTCAGCCAGGGGACAAGAAGGGATCAAAGGAAGAAGAGGGGAGGAGAGAGAGCTCTACCACAATGCAGGACATCACTCTGAAGGCTTCCACACTGACCTCTGGGACCTCATTGCTCATCCCTGTCATGCCTCCCTCCCTCACTCACACATAGCTTTTAGCTTGCAATCCCCTGATCTCCCTGAATCTGTGTTCCCCTCTTTGCGGCCAAAATACTCTGCTTTTCTGCTGTGGGAGAAAAAGTTGGCTCTGGCACCTGGCATGGGAAAGGGATCAAAACCACCACTTACTCCTTCTCACCTGCCTCAAGTTCTGCAGTCTCTGCTGGGGCAGATACTGAACATTTTAACAGCTGCCTGGCAAAGGCCTCCATCTTACAAGAGCTCCCCACCTAGACACTGGGTTGGCCTATGGTTTGGTAACACCAGCCCCCAAGCAGCCCTTGCTTGCTAGGGTGGGAAAGGAGAACAAAGGCAGAGGGAAGCAGCAGAGGTGACACTGTTCCAGCAGTTGGGTGACAAGAGGTTTGCCTTTCAAGGCCATGTCTATGTCCCTAGTCCCACTCCTTAATCACCAAGAGGGTTACACCAACGATGCAGCTTTCACCCCACCTGCTAAGCTACTCACTGGGAGAATTATACTGGAGGGAGGAGGGTGAAGGATCACCTCCCGATGTGCTATGTATTCTGGGTGGCAAGACAAACACAAGGCCTATGGGACTGTGCAGTCTCCCTCGACGGCACTATGTCTGATCCACCCCAGCTGCTTGGCTGCATCCACACTGGTGACACTGTTACCTTCTGATGTGCTGCTGCAGGTCAAAGTTCTTGGTAAAGGCCTTGTCACAATAAGTGCATTTCAGCTTGGGGGACTTGAGTTTCCCTGGAAGCAGAAGAGTCAACACAGGAATGAGATCGTGCAGCTCAGCCCCATCCACCCCAGCTCTGCACCCAACACACATCTACCCTGGCAAAAGATTAAAACACTCATGAGGGTGTGCCTGGCTAGAGCAGAGAGAAGTTTAGGCTACATTTAATGTAGCCTGAGCTACATCTAAAAGTAGAAGCTCTGCATAAGAAAGGGAGGCTCTGATGCTCATCTTTCCTGCAACCAGACATACTCCTCTCCTGCCTTGCCTGCGGACAGGCACGTTTTGCTTGCAGGCAGTACACACACCAAAATACGTAGCAGGGACTGGGCTGCTGAGACCTGCTGAGTGTTAAGGGTCAGGCCACATCCAGCCTCTGGGCTTGCAGCTGGGCATTCTTGCTCAACTTAACACGGACCAAGCTCTATCACCTTATTTGCAGGATATCCCCTTTTTCAAGCATGATCCAACAAGCATCCAGCTGCAGTGTTTTAGCAGAAGTCTGCACCATGCAGTGGCACACTGACAGTCATTTCACGTGTGTCCAGAGATAATGGACAAGAGGCAAGTCTGCATCTCTGGCTGCTCTACATAGCCTTGGGTATGCTGTCCTGTTCCTCCTGGAGAGGAGAGTGCACAGCCAGTGCCACCCAGCAGAGTCTGGAGAGCCTGCGGTTCAACTGTGTGCTACAGGACAAGCCCAGGGGCCTGCGGGCTAGAGCAGGGCAGCAGCCATGAGGACACCTACCTTCAAGCAGCCCGCTCTCGGCTCTGGAGCGTCTACTTTTGGCAGCAGAGGCAGAATCAAAGCCAACCACGTTGCCTCCTCCTGCACTGGTCAAAGGTGTGGGAGCGCTGGTGCTCTTGGATTTGAATCCCTGCTTCCCAGGGCTGAAGACAGGAGGAGAGGGATATACAGGATTTTCCACACACTGGCTCGGTACCTGGAAGAATGCAATTATCAGTGGAAAAACAGATTTAATAGACAGTGTCATGCTGTGCCAAGCACAGCACCTATGACTCTACACCTCCAGCAACACTTGCCACAGGAGGGTATTAGTTCAGCCGTTTTCTGCCTCCTGCCAAACCAGATCCAACTTGTGTTTGGATCAACAGAAGTGTTTGATCCAACAATGTGTCTCTACCTAAAACTAATGGCAGGTACTGCATGAAATGCTCTTGCTGAACACCACCAAGCACCCAGGATTTTTTCTATCAGAAACAGGAAAACAGAGAAACTCTGAAGGAGCTCTCTAGTCTCCCCCAACTAGGTCCTACACCTAGAACGGGTTCTCATCCTTCCAGAGAAGGTTACCAGACCTCCAGGCCCTTCTGCCAACCAAGAAGGACTGCAGAAGGGAAGGAGGCACAGGAAAACTCCAGTTCCATTTACACTGGCACTATCATTAAGAATGAATGTGGGGTGACACTTAGAGAAGAAAACAGAGACATCAGTCTGGAGGAGTGTGGCTTGAGCTCTTTTCATTACGCACTCTGATAAATTAACACAGAGCACTAAGTATCCAACACCATCATCCATTTCTGAACACCTGCACTTCCAGATCAGACGTCAACTACAAAGACAAGGCTGGCCAACTTCTATCGCACCCGTAGTTTCCAGTCCAGAGCCCTTTGACCTCTCCTGTACAGCAGCAGGCTGCACTACAGAGCCTGCTCTTGAATAGGGACACCTCTCAAGGTTACTCCTCCAGGTTGAGAGCTTCCTTACCTGCAACAGATCCTCTGTATGTGACCGACAGCATGCTGAAACTTTGCTAAGTTACATCTCTGACTGATTGTGCATACAATCCTTTCGACATAAACCACTGACTGAGTCTGAGATTGAGACTGGATCCAGCTGCACCCAGAGTCTTCTGAGGAGTTTGGAAGCAAGGGGTTCCACTCTGAACCTCGTGACTCATCGGGAGGGTCTGCTCGACACTTCCATCTCACCCTGTTCTCCATGCAGTAAATAACTGAGTGAATCTTGCCATTGACCCTTGTCAAATCACTGCCTTATTTACAACTGAACTTTGTTAAATCACTGTCTTACCTCAATAAAACACATTGCTTCTCTCTTGCAATTGCCTTCTCCTGTTCTCAGAACCCCCCTCCTCTTGATGACATCTTTCCGATCTGTACTTGCTCCCAGAGGAAATAATTTGTGTGTGTAAAATAACCTAACACATCTTCCCAGACTCTAATCCTGCTCAGCCTTACCTCTATGGGTGGATAGGGCTGCATCCCCAGTGACTGGATCTCCACCGTGCTGCTTGCTGCCATGGGAGCAGGCGCGCTGTACACTTCGACCACGCCACCACCCCCAGCACCGGGCTGCCCCGGAGCCCCCAGGCTTGGTGGGGGAGGCGGTGGCGGCTGCGGAGGGGGCGGCGGAGGAGGCGGGGGTGGCGGAGGGGGCTGGGAGAGATAGCCAGCCCCAGTGTGCATATTCAAGCTGCTCTGGAAACAGAACAAGGAGAAGCAGGCACACAAGGCATTAAAAATGCAGCACTGGTCTAGCAAGGCCAAAGTGGAAGTGCTGCACCCTCACACCCACGTTCCCCATAGGGTTTCAAATGGCACCAGTGGCATCAGTGACAACACCGCCAACACCCAAATGCCACTTTGGAGCAGGCTGTGCAGGCAAGCAGAAGGTTGGCTTGATCTGCTGGTAGGTATCGTCTCCAAGCACTGAAGTCCCACCGCTTTTATGCCTTTTTTTTTTTTTTTCTCCTAACCTTTCTGGTTATTAAGGACTTTTTCAGAGCTTGGAGAGAATATCCAGCCCTGAGGAGAGCATACACCAACCATCCCTTGATGAGATCCGTATGGCGAACTGATGAGGGCTCTAAAAAAGGGGAGAAAAAAGGTGGAAGATTATACTACAAATACCTGCGCATCCAGCAACAAGGACAGCAGGAGGGAGCAGACCCTGGAGTTATCCTGTCATTATCTATCAGGCCTCCCTGGACATGGCTGTCACACTGGGAAGGTGTCCAGGACTCAGCATCGAGGCATATTTCTCTAGTGAGGCAGCAGGACTCCCCCGCAGCCCCTTACCTGCACTGAGGGCTGCACCGCTGGCATCGGCTGGTCCAGGGAGGTGAAGGCAGACATGGCCGACATCAGCACCTCGTCGCTAACCAAGATGTTCCCCTGCACAAGGGTCTGGATCAAAGGAGACGGAGGAACCGTGATGTATGTAGAAATTTGCTGAAAGAAAAAAAAAGGTTGCACTGTTGATCATCAACAATAAAATCAGAATAACAACGACACTGAGCTTTTTACTGACCCTCTGCATCTCTGCTTCCACAGGGTCTAGCCAGTAGATAAGCTAAGGTAATTATGTACCACTTCTTATCAAGTCCTCTGCAGTTTCTAGCTGTAACAGTAAGCAAGCTCTGGAAATGTTCACCTCAGAAGGAGGTACAAAGTTTTCTGACTGCTTGAAGAAGTGGTCATTGGCTCAGATGGTTGGATATTAAACAAGCTTTGCAGAAGCAACTGGCTGCAGATAATTTGGGGCCTTTGCTGGATACTTTCCCTGCTAGGAAAGGTGGGAAATTGGGGGATACTGCTCTGGTTGCAGATGGTGAACATCAGGCTCATATCTTAAGACCAGAAAAGGACTATAGGAGCAAAGGTTGGGCTGTCCTCTCTTGTTAGTAGAAACGACCAGTGTTTGCAAACCCAGACAGCACCATCCACCAGCACTAAGTTAACTCAGAAAAACAAAAATTGGTTTGAAGCATTCAGAAGCCACCATATTGCAGTCAGAGGACATGTCATGCATAAGGGAACTGCTGCACAAACTCACTCCTGAGAGTCTCTTGGGGAAGAGAATCTCCCAAGAACAACCCCATCATACACATGACCTCACACCACGTGGGGTTATCGGCAGGAGACTGGCAGAGGGATGCAGGGGAGAGGCTGCCACAATCACAGCCATCCTCTTCTGCTCATGAGCCAAACTGCGGATCAGGGAAGAGCAAGATCCACTCCGCCCTGAGTAATATACAGCATGGGCACTTGCCAGGCCGGCTGTGACACCAGTGCTCTTGGGTGGAAATGGAGTTTACCTGAGCAGAGACATGATAAGAAACCTCCTGGCCTAAGAAAAAAAGCAGCTAGATACTCATGCTGAAGGATACTTTACAGCAGAGGACCAAGCAGATGTAACATGACATCAAAATCCAACACAACCACAGCTGAGCATCCTAGAAGGCCAATCATGAGGTATCACTGGATTTAAAAGCATAATGCAGAGGTTCTCCCACTCCTAAAACAGCAGGGACAGAGCCCCTGAACCCACTGACTTGTTGCAAGGTACCTGTCGACTGGCATTTGGAGCCTGCTGCAGCGAGGTGATGGACGGGGTGTACCCACTGTTGGTGGCCAGGGAGACGGTGGAGAGGGAAGGGGTATTTCCCTGGCACTGCTCTCTCTTGTGGGTCATGAACGCAGGCAATGAGTTGAATTGCTTCTTACACTTCCCACACAGAAAGACATCTTCATCATCTGCAATTAGAGAACCAGATCACCATTCCAGCCTCCTTTCTTCAGCCAGTGTTCCATTAACTGCCAACCAGAAGGAGCAGGACAGCAGGCACCTTCTGGATCTCTAGGAGGTCATCATCAGGACAGAATCAGCTGCAAGAGCAGAACTGTCCCTCCTCCCCACTCCCCAGCTTGCCTTGAAACCAAGTGATGGAATCACACTGGTCTCTGCCTTGCACCCATACACAAAACTCACAATGTCACGGTGACAAGCTGAATCCCACTGCCTGTCCTCTCATCTCAAAGATGTGAATATCCAGCCCAGCTCTGCTCCTTCATCACTTCCTGCTTTTAGTCAAGTTGCTTCTTTCAAAGCATCATGACTATCCTTGGCTAATGCAGGTTTTACTGCTTAAGTCGCACAGACGAAGAGGAATAATTTGCATCATAGTACAGAGTCAGTGGCAAAATCAGGGCACAGTTTGCACCTCAAACCTCCCCTGCAGAAAGATTGCAGGTCTTCGGTGCCTCTGCTTGATATTAGTGGCAGAAAGAACACAACTCAGGTACCATGTTCTAGATTAAATCTGCAGCACTATCAACACAAAGAGGCACATACCACTTTTCATTAGAGACAGCTGGATTCAAGTCTCTTGGGTAAAAAGTACCCCATGGCTCGCAGGAGCGTGACTACTGTCTGATTCCCAGCACAGGCTCAGGCAGGACAGTGCAGGGGAGCACAGACCTCTCCAAAAGCACAGCTCAGAACACAGTCACCACAAGAAGTCCTCTCAATAATAGGCTGAACTGGGAATTCACTGTCCAAATCAATCTCACAGACAAGCTAGTCTCTTCCACACAAGGGGAAAAAGAGCAGAAAGAAAACACACTCTCACAAGCAAAGGCTCGAAGTATCAACCCCCCGCATAGGCTCTTGGATCTTCTGCCAGCAAAACTGCCAACCCATAGCTTGCAACACTTGTAGTTGCAATCTGCAATGGGTGGGAGACCCAGAGGCAATTCTGCACCTGCCCAACAAGTCCTAGTCCAGCACTGGCTGGTCCACATTTACCAGTGCTGCGGGAGGCAGCTCCAAAAACATCCTGAAGGCCAAAACAGGAGCTGTCATGTGCATGTAAGCCACTATTTCCCATATTCATTCACACAGATTCACTCAGTGACTGGACAAGCAGTACATCCCCAGAGGATAAGGGACTTCTCATTATAGTAAAAAATATAAACAGTAGCAAGCACTAGCAAAATACAAGCAATAACAAACACTTTCAGCAGTGAGTATACTGCTCCCTTTTTTCACATCGTAAACATGTGGAAGTGCCCTGTCCAGCATCTTGCCAAGACAAATTCCAAAAGCATCGTTCTGCACAGACCCATTCCTCCTGCTCCACCGAGCCCAGCTGATGGGTCACAATGCTCACAGCATTTTCCCATGTGCACACTTTGCATCACCGACCACTGTGGAGAGCACGCTGGAAGAGACCGCTGCCCCCTCCTCTTTCTCTCAGCGCTGGAGACTCACCCATGGACTGGATGGTGGTGGATGAGCTGACATTTTGAGCAGATGGATCGGTCGCCCCTCCTTGACCATCTAGTAAGGACTGCACAGCCAGCACCGTCTGATTATCCATGCCTGCAAGGGACACACAAGTGGGGAGGGTAAAGGGAGCGAAGACCAAATGCAGAGCGAACTTGCTCGCAGGATCTGCAGAAAAGGAGCTGAGAAATGGCTGGTTGGGACATCACGGTCCAGTCAGGGTTACGGCCTGGATGTACCTCCCTGGGGAGGCAGTGTGTGACAAAACCCTTGGCGGGCAGCAGCTTTGTGTCAGCCCACCAGGAAGCTCTGCTCTGAGTAGGAGCACCTGAGACGCCTCCCTGTTTTCAGGAACACGGCTCTTGGTCCCGGCCATTGGGAGAACGTGGATACTGCATTTGCAAGTTGCAAGCGTGGGCTCCTGGCAAGGGCGTTGGGGCACTCGCTGGCCCCTCCACCTGCCATGCAGGACCTGCAGGAGAGGCAGGCAGCTCCCTCTCCCCCCGCCCGGCCCCCC